TTCCCTAGTTCCTTTCATATTTGACAGCGCCTTCAGCACTGCAATTGCTTTATGGCATTTCCCAAACAAGCAAACAAATAAAAGTAACCCAAGTCAAGCCTCTGTAAAACCGAATCGCGTGCTCTGAACCAAATGTCACACACTTTTACTTTTTGGAGCGGGAGGGTGCGCTAACAGGTTCATTCTGCGTTCTTAGACTTTCACCTACCCTGTCGGTGGAGCATTGCGTTTCCAGTATCCTCCCCGCGCATAAACTCTTGTGGACGGGTGTATTAATAAAACGGTGGTATTCACACACCCTTCCATTTTAGTGAGCTTTTTCTCCGTGGTGAGTGTGGTTTTAGATTTATAACAGAGATAGTACGCAGAATGCAACTTGACATTTTATATACTTCAGTTGCTAAGGAATATTTTGAATCGGCTTGGCATATGATAGTTGTGCTTTCCTCACAAACATTGTATTGGCTTTTAGAGGTCGAGGAGAAAACTGAGCTGTCCCGCCCAGAACTGATTGCAACAGTAGGTGAATGGTTAGGAATCCACGCATGCAGCCTTCCCCAATATGTTGAGCCAAAAGTGTTAATCCATTTTACATGGGGGGTGGGGTAATCAATGGGTTTCTTAAGCCCTGCAGAGGCTTCCAGCGCCGAACTCCCTTCCCCAAATGGGTCCTGGCCCCTCCCATTCTCGGATCATGGTCCCCAGTGTGTCCTGCAAAGTTTGGGGGAGAAACCGGGCCACCCAGGGTAAGGGAAACTCGGAATGCGTCTTTGAAACGATGGAAGCCAGATAAGAAGCCAGTTCTTAGCTGCACAAGTTTCTGGCAGCCATGGGGTTCCTTAAACTGAAGAGTAGCTACAACTGCCCAAGCTGTAGCAAGAAACAGGCCCGTTTTACGGCACGTACTTGGACATTTGTGCTTTATGTTCCATCAGCCTGCTAGTTTTTTAGCGCTATCAAACCCTTTGAAGGCTCTTTATTTCCATTGGCAAAGAAAGCTGCAGAGGTGCCTCCTTTCTAGTTTCTCCATCCAGCCCCTAGTAATAGAAGACATTTAGCTAGCCATCTCGGTCCTCTGTTTGTGGTAAATAAAGGCGCTTTAGCTGTTTGTCTCTCCGCCTCACCTTTTCACGCCCTCCCGCAAATCTCTTGCTGTCCTCCAGTCTCAATAAACCTTGTAACGCTGGGAAAAGCCACCTTCTTCCTTCGAATTAGGGACTCGCTTCCCTGGGTTGACTTGAAAGAAAGCCCCGTTGAACTCCGAGAGCACTTACTTCAAAGCAAACATTCCCAGGACTGGGCTGAGACCTGCGTCCCAAGCCTCAGAAGGAGGCGCCGGGATTCAGCGCGATTTGGCTTCCCGCCCGCTTTCCTGCGCGCTATTTAGTTGCGTGAAAGGCTGCGCCGGAGATGAAGCGAGGAGGGCGGGAGGAGGGGCGAGAGCTGAGCAAGGCGACCTCCAGCACCGAAATCACCGATGGGGAGCTGGCAGTTGAAGCTGGCAGAGGAATGCCACGGTAGAGAACTTGGAAAACCACCCCGGCATCTCCACGAATTAACGCGTGGATGTTCTCATGGCAGGAATGTGTCCTGCCCACTTAAAACAAAATGGGGCGCAAGGAAGAGAGGCTTACTTACACCTTTTCCCTCCCCTGCAACACACGCTTACGCACTAACCCGGGAGTAAATAGGCCCCTTGAGCTAGTCCGGAGGGCCTTTCACTGTTTGTTCAGACTGCCTGTCGCCAGGTTTAAACCAACAACGGACAACCTTGTGATTTCGTTTGTGAAAAAAAGCGTCCAGGGCAAATCAGAGCACGGCGGTGGGGGAGGGGGAGGGGGAGGGGTGGAAGAACCTGTCTCGACCTTGCAAACGTTGATCGGACTTGAGAAACAGGCATCGGGTATTTTCAAGGGGGGGGGGGTCGAAACTGATATTCGTGTCTATTCCAATGGAGTACTGTATACGTGCTGTTATAAGTATATACACAACTATGCACTTTAAGGCAAGCGACCCCCAGCACATTTCTTCCGAATGCTATAACACATCAGCGGGAGTCCTAAGGAAGCGTTCCTCAAAGGGTCGGAGTCCGACGCATAAGGACGGGAAAAGCTTCCCTGGAAGTAACCCCGCTGGGCTGCCTTCGAGGTAAACCCGCCCAGGACGGGGCTGCCCGCGTTCCCGGGAGCGTCGGCCGTCCCAGAGACAGAGGCGTGTACTTTTTATTAAAGCCGCTCAATCTGACCTCTCCACCCCTTCGCTTGTGTGTTGCCCTGAGGATTTCTCTGATGAATTTGGAAGCCAAAAGACGCGTTGAGGGCTCTGGACGGTTTCTCTCCGTGTAATTTTTGTACGCGTCTATTAAGATGTCAGCCGCACTGTATTTAGGGCGATGGACTCCCAGGTAAAGTGTGGACGGGATTACAGTCCGGACGACTGTCGGCTCCCCCAAGAAGGGGGCCGGTTCAACAGCAATTTCTGGCCCAGCTTCATCCCTCCAGGCTTTGTTTTCCGCCTCTCCTCCTCCCCCCACTCCGGTGTTTCCTCTTCCCCGGCAAATTCTCGTTTCCCCTTCCAGTCTCTTCCCCCATTCTCCCGCCTACTGGAGAACAATCGTTGCCGAGGGAGGCTCGTTGAACGCTGAGCTTGCAAACTGACCTCTTATTTAGGAAGTCATTAATCACATCCCCTCCCCCGGGACGAGACGGCGGTGGAACCTGTGAAGCGCCATCCCGCTCTCTCCACCCCCCCAACCCCCGCGCACTAGCCGCTTCCCTAAATGCTTTGAAACGCTTGACTGCCTCGCATTCTGAACCGAATTGAGATGCCACCGCGTTTCCGGTAGGCGTTCCATAATGGACGAGGTATAGACCTGAGAAAGACGACTTTGGCCCCGGAACGAGCTTCATCGACCGAGCCTACACAACGCAGGGCCAGAACACGTTCAGAATATTTATCTGCCAAGTGTGCAGCGCCTCCTTTGATGCTCGTTTATCGTTAAAACAGTTTCTGCGTTTTAGGAATGTAACGCTGTTATCAAAAGAAGTATGATATGAACAGATGATCATCTGCTGTGATTCATTCTCTGATGATGTTCCACAAAGAGCCAAGACTTTCTCATCTTCCTTTCACTTTCCCTTCCAGAAAACGCTTTTAAATCTGAGAGGGGACATTGCAATGTGGGTCACATGGAAGATGGCTATTACCTGATCACAACAGAGACCGGAACCCCAAATAATAGACCTACGTTTCAGGAAGGCAAATTCCGAATGAACGTTAGAGGGGGGGAAATCCCTAGTAATCAGTGCGGTGAAACCTCGACGAGGCAGAGGGCTCCCCTTCACAGGATGCATCGCTCACAGCCTCGTCAGCCGTTTGTGTGAGATGTTTTAATCTGGATTCCTGCACCGAGCAGGGGGTTGGACCTACTGGTCTCAGTGGATCATTTCCAACTCTGAGATGCTCCGGGAAAAGAGTGCGGTCCCAGATACACTTACATGGCAGTCAGATCCGTGAAGTTCAGATGGATTTACTTTGTGGGGTAAGCAAAGGCCTCTGCAGGCAAATTCTGTGCGTGGTCAATGGGAAGGAAGGCAGCTGACTTCCAGGTAAATGTGTACAGGAAGAAGCAAGACTGCGCCCCCTATTTCAACTCACCACCGGTTCCAACGGGACGCGACTAGCACGCTTACGCAAAGATTCTAAGCACCTCCAAGCCAGTCAGTTAAAATACAGAAATGATTCCAAGTTAATTAAAACAAAAGCACCGATTTCAATTTAGGTAAGTTCTATCTCCAGATTTGTGGATCGGCTTCGAAGCTCTTTCAGCAGCGCTTTCTACCTCCCGGGGTCGGACCGCCGTTACGAAACTGCGCGGAGCGAAGGGCAATTTCTTTGGCGTTTGCACGCGAGTCATCAAAAGCTTTCGCTCTGGAGATCGCGGTACACTGCCTGCTGGCTGGCTGGCTGACTGGCTGGCTGGCTAGCTGTGTTCCGACAAAGGCATTCCCCACCCTTGCGAGCGTCATACGGATCTACGTAAAGAAACGTGCCAACTCGTGGCATGGGGAGCGGATTTTCAAATTTCGTTGTTGATTCATAAATTATTCCAGCGTGTCAGGGCCGTTAGAGGTGCCGATTGGCTATTCCTTCTTTTGCCAACCCCCCCTCGGAAGACCCGAGGTGAAATTAGTAGTAAGAAGGCATGTAATTGAGCGAGTCACGTGCAACGGGGGCCCAGAATCCCAGCCAGAGCATGAACGGCGCTTGGCCGGGTGGGTGGGGGCGGGGGCAGTGCAAGTCAAGAGAGCAGGAACGAGACAGCCGAAGCGGGGATCGCTCAAAATCAAGATGTTAAGCTAATTCCTAAGATCACTTCCCCTAACCAGGAAGGGGGCACTTTCCGCCTCGCTACTTTGGAACAGAGGGCCAGTAGAGCAACATGGCCGAAGGTTATCCCCTTATTTTGCTGGGTTGCTTTTACTTTTAAAAATCGCCTTACTTTCTTCCCCTCTCCCACCCTCTGTTTAAAAAAGGAAAGTCCTTCAATTTGGAAAGTTCGTTTAAGGAAAAAACAACAACAGCAACAATGAAAAGGGAGATTCGAAGAGGGAGAATCCTATTGTGGCCGAGCTCTCCTCCGTGCTCTGCGCCGCCCACACCGATTCACCCAAGTTGAAAAGCGTTCAGAGGGACTATTGTTCCTGTGTGATTGAGCAAGCAGTTGCTGAAGGCAGGAAGGGAGGGAAACTTTTATACACCTGCCCCCCCCCGCCCCACTCGACTCTGTTAGAGTCATTCCAGCGTGCAAGAAAGGGAGGGGGGTTTGCCGGAGGAAGAGCGCGAGAGAATGAGCGCAGTTGGAAAATAACACCCGGCGCTCGCTGCCGCTGGATGGGCTGTTCCAAGCGGTTGTGCAATCGCCTTCCCTCTCGGCTCGGTCGCCCCCTCCCCGCCTCTGCTCGCTCGCTCCCTCCCTCCCTCCCTCGCCAGCCAAGACTCATTCGCCTGCGAATTCCTCTGGGGAGGGATGGGATCGGTGCTCAACCAGCAGTACCCAAGTAAAGTATCGTTTTCTGGGGTGGTTTATGTGGCTGAAAGATGGAGTTAAAGGGCAGGATCGCACGTATGTACAGAACAACGTGGGGTGGGCTGGGCTGCTGTATGTGTGCGTGCATGTGTGTGCGTGTGGAGGGGAGTGTATGAAAAATATAGCCTGAGTCACAGCAGATGCTGCTTTCCCTCGGAGATGCCCTTCAGCATTGCTTTTTTTCGAAATGCAGTTTATTTCCTCCTTCCACGAGATCTGGCTGTGGGTGTGGGTGTGCTTTAAATGTTTTTGTGGGTCGGAAGGAAGGAAAAAGACTCGATTTCGTAACGATGAACGTGCGTGTATGTGCTTTCTGTCCTTTCTGTAGCAATCGCTCTTGTGCAGCCGCCAAGGAGATGTTAGTAGAATTTAATTCTCTCTGTGTGTGTGCGTGTGTGTGTGCGCGCGCGCGCGCGTGTATTTACGTAGTTTCTTGTTTTTTCCGCCATCCCTCTCCAAATCAGCGGGGGCGCGTAAAAGTGGAGATGAACCCGGGAAATTGCCGGAACAAGAAGAGGAAGAAGAGGAGGAGGAGGAGGAGGAGGAGGAGGAATCCCAGGTTTTGCACGGAACAGGCCATTGCAAGTGGTTTAATGTGCGAATGGGATTCGGATTTATTTCCATGCTCAACCGCGAGGGAAGCCCTTTGGAGTCTCCGGTTGATGTCTTTGTACACCAAGTAAGCACTTTTTGTTACTTCAATTCCCATCTCGCCCCTTTTTCGCCAAAATTAACAAGTTCTGGTTCCGTTTAAGGTTACTTCTGTTTCGCATGATCTAAACATTTATTTTTTGCATAAATAGATATTATGCCTGTTCTGCTAGAAACTAATTTCAGATAGCAACACCAACAGTCCCACTGAAATCAGTGCATTAGGTTGCTTGGTCCAAATAAAAGTTAACAAGGTACCTTCCCAATACAAAATTATAGTATGAAGCCTTGCTTTCTTGCTTCCAGTGTGATTCTAAATTAATGTTGTAATCTATTAATCACCTGATAGATTACTCTTTACTAAAATAGGAGAAGAGAAAACCATGCACGAGCCCTGCAATTCTGTGCATATTAATATGAATGTAAGTCTTAAAAAAACTTAAATAATCTTAAATAGGAGAAGCTACTTAAAAAGAAAACATTAAATGCTGTTACTCTTTTGTGATAATATGATGGTGCATAAATAGTAATTGTCTTGGTCTGCTGTTTGGAAACTAATGCATCTCATATTGTAGAAAATGACATATCAAAACCTAATTTATGCTCAGGTATGTGAAATCCTGTGATAGGAAAAGATCTTCTATTGGGCAGCAAGGCTGCTCAGTCTTTAAGGCCTCAAAGTGTAGAAGTCCAGTTGTAAAAGGCAGTATTGTCATACATATTTGTGTATATATAAAGGCAAGATCCCTTCAGAATTTAAAGGTCCATTATGACTATAAAAACAGTAACAGTGAGAAACAGTTGATTCAGTTTATGCTTGGCTGCTACATAGGTGTGTCTTTCACTTTCTCTTCTGTCCTTCGATTATTTAAGTCCTAAAAATCAGACATTTAATTTTGAATTGTACTTACTTGTTATATATAAAAGACATACAAATTCCTGCACATATAGTTAAATTCCCATTTATTTTATTTTAAATCCTTCATTAGGTGTGTGCAGCCTTGGGTTTTGACTGGGTATATCTGCAAAACTTAAATAATGTTTATGCCTTCCATGTGAAAACATCTAAAGGCACCTTAAAAGTGTGGGGATCTCCTAGCAAACTGAGATACATTTTTTCTATGTTAGGTTTGCTTCCTCCCCCCCTCCCTTGGTTTCATCAAAATTTAAGATGGGGGGAAGTCTGTTGTGTGGGGTTTTTTTTTACTATTATTTGGGTATTGGGGATGGAAAGCATTTACAATAGAACAAGGCAATAAAAACCAACAACCTCAGATTTAAAAATACTTTCTGTAGCAATAATTTCACTGAATTCAGGAAATATTCTGGAATAACTGGTAAGAGAATTGCTGTTGCTGCTACTTAGAATATTTATTTTGCTTTTCCCACCCTCTCCATCTTGTAACAAAGTTAACATCGCTTTAACTAATTATAAGTATGGCATCTTGAAACAAAATTAATATTGGTTTAACTATCTATAAATATAGGGAATAATTGTGAAATAAAATACTTGATTTTTCATTTACATGCATGCGTTTATTTGATTTAATCTACAATCCATATACTGTTGCCAGTGCTGATTTCTAATGGCACCTAGCCCTTCCTGTTCTTTTTCCCTTCCCTTTTTAATTCCTATCATCATATTTTTATATATATGGAGGAGCTGAATGCATATGTGGAGTGATATTGTTGCTGAATATCAAACCCCCAAAAGCTGATAAAATAACATTTATTTAAAACACATCTGTAGTTTGATTACTCAGACATTCTCATGTTGTAAGGTACTGTGTATGTTGCTAGACTTTTGGTTTCTGGCTTCTGTGTTTATATGTTCACAGATTTTAAAAAGTTAAAACCAAAATGTTGGGGGTGGGATTGCAATGATAAGGTCTGGGGAACAAATCTTCTCAGTCTGTTCCATGCATATTTGTGTTGTTTTTGTCATTCTGAATATAGTAGTGTGGTTATTGCTAGGTTATGATAATTAAATGGAAGCTATGTAATTATATGTAAGACTTGGAAATCTATTTTTTTAAAAAAAACAGCTTTATTTCTATATTCCTTTCATCTCTAAGTCTCTGGGCAAGTACTACTTTTTAATCTAGGTCTAAGATAAATGTTGTACAAGTCATGATTAATCCCATTTTACAGATTTGGAAGATAGGTATGTTTTCTGTGCTTATGCATATTTGTCACTTCCTATTTTAAGCAACTCTTGACTTTTTAGGCAAAAGATAAAAGGGGTTTTATCATTCTAATCAGAATTCTTTACTGGAAGTAATTTGGAGATGCACACACACACACACACACACACACATGCAAAAAAGAGAGTGCTGCATATCAAATCATGGATTCTCAAATATTGTAGGTGCCTAGGTAAACTATCCAAATGATAGAATTTCTTACAATTCCTTAGGAAAAGAAGTGTATTTGAACCTCTTTATGTCAGATTCAAATTTACTGTTCTATCGACTAAGCTGTTGTAGCTAAGTATGAAGAGTAAAGAAAGTTAATAATTCTGTAAAAAACAAAATTGATCAGTGAGTTTATGACAAATGATTGTAAAATTCAGTAAGCAAGAACATATAATCTCTACAGAAGAAAACTGAAGTGTGTACTGGTGTTACTAGTATCTTTAGATATCTGAAGATAATTAGAAAAAAAAAAAAGCATGTTATGAATACTTCCTAATATGTATGCATTTGTAATGTGGCAAATGAGCATAATTAATTATTACTGTTATAACATTAAGTGAAAAGGTTTTTTTATGATAAATATGGGACAAATTTATTTTCACTGATAAGTTATAAAAATCTGGAAATATTCATGATTTTGTAGTAATCTGGGTGACTTTGAGATTTGGTTAAACTTTTTGCCTCATTGAGGCAAGAAGTATTTCTCCAGCATTTCCAGTAATGTTGATTAAATCTGATTTGTGAAAGAAGTTTTAATTATTTTGTAGTCAGTTCTTGCTTGCCCAGAGTTTAACTGGGCTGCAAAAGTACAGCTGAAATGAAAGGGTTGTATTGAGTTATATTCTTTTCTTCAGCAATTTAGGCTGATTCCACTTCCATCTACTGCACAAATGGGTCACAAATGATAGTGGAAAAAGGGGCCCTAGAAAGGGGGGAAGAAGAGCACAAGGAAAGGGGGAAGCCACAAGCAGCTTGTAGGCATCTCTAGGAGTAAAGGAAGACCATCATCTATCTAGATGGAGACTGAAACTCTGTGAGCAAGAAAATTTGCCCCTTGTCTGCCTAGGTCACTATTTGAGGCCCCTTCTTCTGAAACAGACTAATAGCTATCCTTGGCTGCTGCTTGTTGCAATCATCTTGGCATCCCTGCCTGACTCCCTGTTTTTCCATCTGATATATTACTGGTTGTGGGGTTCTGGCTGTCCTATGCCAGCAGGTTGCATTCCGTGTTGTGTTGTCACCAAATGGGCAACACCAAGGGTTAAGGCTCCACAGTGCAGTGTGCATAGCATAGCGCCTTTTTACTGGCGAGCTGCTTCTATGGCTGTTTTTACTGGAGCCTAATGTTGAGGAATGTCTGAGTTGAGCAGGACAGGAAATGGCTCAAGAGCAAGTATTACTGGAAGGACAAATTTGGGGGTGGGGGGGAGCTTTCAATCTGGCCGTTGCAGGAAAATTAAGGCAGGCTGCTGGTTGGCCTCCTTTCCTTTTGGTCTAAAGCAGTGTTTCTCAACCTTGGCAATTTTATGATGTGTGGACTTCAACTCCCAAAAGGAGAGATTCTGAACTTTGGCTGGGGGATTCTGGGAGTGTAGGGCCAAAAAAT